GGAGGTTCTAAAATTATAAAATTTCCATGGAGATTACAAAGTGTAATTCTAGCTAGCTCTTGAGTAATCACGTTGATACTACGTGGAATCTACAAAAACAATAAAAAAAATTGAAAATAAATACAAATTATGTCAAATGTTAAATGTGCTTCAATCAATCACCAAACCCTAAATCTAAAAATTTTAAATGTGAAAGTTTGAGTATATGGTGTACTCAGGATGTGCATCGTCTTCAACTAGGATAGAATTCAGACCCCATTGTCCTGTATCATGTGGTGACATGCATCAAAATGTAGATAGATTGTTTATATCGGTCATTTATATCGTTTTCTTAAACATATCAAACTCATTAGTATGCAATTATACTCATTTAAATAATTCATTCGGGGACACCCATTTCGATTAGTACACCTATATATTATGATTCCACTAAGTACGTCACAAGATATACAAAAACTAAAACAATGCACGAACATAGAGAAAGAAAAACACATCCATGAGCCAAGAGAATTGACCAGAGGGGATTACTAAAAAATTGTGAAAGGGGTTTAGTTTAAATACATCCCCCGAATTATGGCAAGATCTAAAGAGGTGGCCCACACTCTCATCATTTTCCCTTAATATAGCATAAATATTGTAATGTGAGCATGGACATGAACCATAAAGAGAATGCCCAATCCAAAGAAAGATGAGAGAATAGACTGAAAATAAGATCTTATGGTATGCCCTAAATTTTCATGTGTCTCCTCATTAATTTGATCACAATCTCTTTTAATTAAAGGGGAAGACTAAATTTTTCTTACTTAGCAAATTAGCTTTTAATTTTTGATTTATTTCCATATGTCTCACATCTTAATTTCGCCACAATCTCTTTTAATTAAAAATGTAGACTAAATCTATTTTACTTAGAAAATTAGTTGTTAACTTTTAATTTATTTTCTATATAATTGTAAAATAAATTAAGAGAATTTATTTTCTTTTTTATTTACTTGGTTTAGCCTGTAAATAGACCACCAAGTTTTCATTGTAAGATATTTCATAGATTATCTCATAATATTAAGAACATTTTTTTTCAAGAGAGATTTTTCTATCATCTTGTTGAGTAAGAAGTTAATCTACTTATTAAGATACGACCTTGTAACGTTTTTTCATTCTATCTATTTTATTTTCAATGACCTTAATTTTTATTATTCTTGATAGTATATTAAGTAGAAATGGTTTCTATAGGATCAATTCCTTTAATGCCTTTAAATGAAATTGTGAGAGTTCCTGATCACGTTAATTGATATTGGATTTTGCATCATATTGTCTAAATCCTAATCTTTCTAAGCCAATCTATATTTGACCAGGGTGATATTCTTTATTAAACACTAAATGAGGTGTTTGACCATGATAAAGCCTAAGCATTCTAAATCTTCTTCTAACAAAAGGTATCACTCCCATAAAAAGGTCCTATCTCATTCATTAATCGTTCCATCCATGCCTTTATATATCCCAGTTTTACAAAATATAATCCTGACTAGGCTTCCACCCATATTAGTTTATCAAGAGGTTTTGTTGCAGCTTAAAAGAATATTTACAATCAAATTTACCTCATGAGAATGAAAGAATTATTTTACTAGGTTCACATTCCAATACAACCCTTGGGAAAGATAAGTTAAGAAACCTTTTTTAATAAAGTAAGATTTAGTCTTGGACTCTAAATCCTCCCACCTAGTTTTAATAGAAGTCATTTATCTTTTCACACACGAATATCAGTACCATCCACCGCCCTCCATATTAGCACATTCACAAACAACTTTCTACCTTCTAAAATACTCCTTCATACATAGCTTGGTCGTCTACCAAATAACATATTCAGGAAGTATCCGTCTTTATGATACTTGGTTTTGAGTAATTGAGATAAAATTGAAGAACTATTATTCAATAATCTCTATGCATGTTTTGCTAGCAATGCTTTATAGAAACACTGAAAATCCCTAAAGTTAAGACCATCAAGAGGTTTAGATGAACATAATGAAGACTGACAGAGCCAATATAATTTAGATTTATTATCTTGCTTACCCCATTAAAACCTTACTGCTATCCATTTGCTTATACACATTTTTAGAAAGTAAAAACATACTTGTGATATATGGGTTGCACCACTGATTTAATGAGAATCTTACTAGCCGCATTTGAGATAGATGAGGGATGTCATTGTTGAATACATCTTACCATTATATTCACTAGATATCCAAAAATTTTCCTTTAAGAATCAGCCAATTGCTATAGGTACACCCAAATATTTTGCATATGCCTTAATCACTTGAATGCCTATTATATCACATGCTTCATTATAACTACGAGCCTTCAACCCATTTGAAATATATATATAGAGGATTTATTCAACTTTATCAATTGGCCCAAAACTTTATTATAAAGTATGTTCTTCACCTCTTACAACTCTTCTATTTTAGCTTTACCAAATATGATGTTATCATCTATATTTAACAAAATCATGATACTTGTGGAGTTGGTCTAGCAATCTTGATTTCCCCAATGAGTCATTGAGCTTCTTCTGTGCATAATGATGATGAAAATGCTTCGGCACATAGAATAAACAAATAAAGTGATAGGTTATAAAAAAGCTCCTTGCCCAAGATCTCTTTTTGAGAAGATAATCTCCGATCATTGATCATTCACCAATATAAAATAAAAGGCAAAATATACACATATTACAATTAAGATAACAAAATTTGGATGAAAGCCCAACTTCAATAGCATTTTTTTGCTAAAAGACCACCCAATTCAATCATAAGGCCTTACTCACAATCTAATTTCAAAGCAAAAGACCTCCATTCCCAATGCCTGTTGAATTTCACTCATTTTCTATTTTTACTTTTTTTATTGTGTTGATATCATTCTTTGATCACTAAATATAATATAAATATATTTGATTGATTTACAGTGAAATCTGAAAACTAAGTGAAAATAGTAGTAGTTGAAACATAGCAAATGTATTTTAATCATGTATAAATTAAAAAGTTGAAATTGAATAAAAATAAATTACACTCAGGTATAATAATTGTAAAACATGTTTGTCAATTTTGCATCTGTTGGATTATCCTCCCATTTAATTTTTTATATTGTATTTCAAAAAGATGCAGAACCCTTTAGGATTATTTATGAATTTATGTTTTAATTTAATTAAGAAATTAATAAAATCTTTTTTTTTTAATAACAAAATAAACAAGAATGATCATCTTCTGTGACTCTGACCAGTATGAAGCCTTAATATGTTATTCCCTACATGTAGGAGGAACTGCCTCCCATTAATTCCCACACAAAAAATAACATTAAAAGCAATGAATGTACAGCAGTAAACGGTCGATAATACATGCTTCGTGAATATTCCACTTTCATGGAGCAGTTGCCATTGATGCCAAGTCCAGCTCTTCATCGGAATCTATCACATTTTCAAAGTCATAGTATGCATTCACCTGCATTTCAGGGTTGCACCGTGCTTAATACACATGTTGATGCAAAATGGCATGACTCCATAAGGGAAATCAGATAAAACTAGTGCGTTCTTGGACCGATAAACTCAAGAAATGCATGAAAAGTTTGCTGATAATATGTGGGATTTTTAAGTATTACATGTCTTTAGATGGCAGAAACAGTTTAGCATGCGCCAGCAGAGCAATGAATTTACAATCATTGAACAAGTAAAATTTGGTACCTTTGGTCTCGGCATAACAGCTTCAAAAGAATGGAATACCGGATTATCAAAATCTGGAGAATGTAATACGATGTAAGCCCCTTTGTTTCTGTACCTCTCCTCTGATGCCTGCATAGCAAACATTTTAACATTTAAGACACATCAAAATGATGTGAAAACAACGTTCCACACTGATAAGATGAGATAAAGAAAAGAAACCCAACTTTTTATCTCTCATGACCCGGAAAATATTTGTTTACAACAACTTTATCCATGCAATAAAGTAAATTGAATAGACAAAGAGATCAAACAGAAAGTTTAGTGATGTGGAAATAAAATGCTAAATACGTAAGGCAAGTCGCTGTAATGATTAAGAAACTTAGCATGGCATTCTTTTGAGAGGAAACAATTCAGGACTTGAAGAATTTAGCTTGAAGGATATCAAGATCACGAAGAAACCTGAAATTGTGGGTAGTCTGGAGCACTAAATAGGGTAATGAGCTTCCCCGATTCTACATCATGATCTATGGTGTAGCCTTCATCCATTCCTCCAAGACCAGGCCTTTTCTCTCTTGCATCAGGACCCTCATGTGATCTGATAATTAACTGAGGCAATGAAAATCCAAGTTTTAGCCACCAGCTAGCACCACTTACATCTATAGTTTGAATAATAGATCGACTTACAAGAAATCAGTTAAAAGTTGCATGTTTTATAAACAACAAATAACTTGAGTCACAGCCAGTATATATCTCTTAAGGAGTAGAAGTAAGTTCATTGATTGATAAACTGCAAGTAATCAACTTACTTTTCCAACTGAAAAGGTTTAAGATTTTTTTTTTTTTTCCAATTTCAAGAGAAAAAAATAGGTTTCTTCAAAACAGACAGTTTTCAATCCACAACCACTAGTCTCAAAGATGATACAGTACTGTAGAGCTGTCAACCGAGAAATGAACCCAGCCATTACCCTATTATTTCCACCATTTTACCCTCTTTAGGAAAAAGAGTGCTCACCTTTAAGAACCATTCGAAGAATTAAAATTGATCTACCCTCCTAATAAAACTTTGCTACTTATAGCTTTCAGAGAAAAATTTGGTAGATATCAGCAAAATAATTTTTAAGAAGACCAAACATTTCCTAAGATAATAAAACGAGCAAGCATAATTACCAGTGATGGAAAATGCAGAAAGCAAGAACTCAATAAATGAATAAAGAGCAAACAAAAGAGAAAAAGGGTGAAGGAAAAAGATCTAAAGGGATTTACAATAAACGTTCCGGGTTAAGTAAGAAAACATTTCATCACAAATACTTAAATGCCCACATTTTAAAGATATCGATGTTTGATACTATATTACCATATTGAAAAAAGGTAGACACTTACATGCTAGACACATTAATGTTCCTCTACTAAGCATACAGCATTCCAACAGTAAGCAGCAATTACTATCCAATCCATACCATGTATTGAAAAATGATAATCCACAAAACGAACAAGTGTTTTTATGATAAAGCAAGAAACTTTAAAAGGAAAAAATTAAAAATGCAAATAGTTTTAGATAATTAAGGTTCAAAAGAGTGCAATTAAGTATCCAGAAATTTGTTTTGCGGAAGTATTTATATATAAACTAATTGAAAAACTGCCCTAAACCACAATGGAGTAGAGAGATTTGATTATAACTATCTTAACTTAAATAATATCGTCTTTTGGTATCACCTTAAGTTTGAACTTCTTCAAGAAGTCCTCAGTGCAATCAGGGCCCCATAATAGACCAATTCCTCTCTCTGTGTTTGGTGAAAGACCAGGTTTCATTGATGGATCAGACCATAGAACATCACCAGGAATCAAATTTAAACCTTCCCATGGGGGATTGAGGACTGACCTTCGAGCTTTAGATAACTCCTCCAAAGAACCAAGAGACAATGAGGCCGTTTCAGGATTGACATTTATCTTTCGACCCTTCTTTCCTTTCGATCTTTTTGAAGGGGTGAGGGTAATGCTACGAAAAAGTCCTCCATGAGCAGTATATACATGTCCAGCTATTATAGACGCCAAAGGAAGCCCTTCAAAGCATCCCAAACATTTCCGATAGGCATGTTTTCCTTTGTCACTGTATTTCATGAGAACTTCCCTCTCAAAACCATAAACAGAGGTACAATACTTGGATTCATGATTTCCACGGAGAAGATATACTCTATGCGGCAAGAAAACCTATAAAGGGAATATTTTGCATTACCAAAAGATGAAAAATGTAATTTAAGTGAAAAACTCTCATCGCACCCTCTCAAACAAAAAGAAACAGAAAAGATAAAGTCATCAATTGAAATAAGCTATTAACATTGCATCAATACTTTTGTGTTCCTCCGTTTTTTTCCTTGTCCTTCACATGTATGAGGAAAAACCGAATATGACATGAGATTGTGTTTGGGAGTGGGAAGAACTGAATAAGCATCGGAATAAAATCAAATGAAAAATTGCAAAATCTATAATATTTTATTTTGTTTGAATGCCATAGGAATGAAAATGAGAATAACGTTTTACCTTAATTGAATAAAAAGCTACAAGGAAGATGAATGAAGAAACTATTACTATCTACACTTGCAAAAGGAAAAAAAAAAATAGATAGAAATGAAAGTTTAGATTTTGCAAAAGACCCAGAATAATCTTAAAATTTTGGAAGAAAACCTTTTGGCTGGAAATGAAAGTAAAATATTCAGCCTTATTCTCCCTTCACTCCATCTACTACTCAAATCTCTACAGAGTAACTGCCTAAGCATTTCATCCCAGTCAATCCCCTATCCTCTTCCAAACATAGCCTAAAATTTGCAGTACAACTATAGCAGCATAATTGTGTCAGTAAAAGATTGAATAGCAGCATAATTCTAGCAATATAATCTTCTTGACATAAGACTGAGTTGCAGCATAACTCTAGCAGTAAAAGATCGTCGCAGTAGAAAATAATTAATGATAGGACTTCGAAGTGGTTTACCTTCCAAGCCAACAAAAGCAGAAAGGTCTCAAGACCCCAAGCTCCTCTGTCAACATAATCGCCATTGAAGACGAAAAAGCGATCGTCAGAAGGGAAACCGGCATTTTTGAGGAGGTAAAGTAGGTCATGCAACTGACCGTGTAGGTCCCCGACAACGACGACGGTGGATTCAGGAGCAAGAGCGTCGATTTTGACGCAGTTGGGCTCCTTGTGGAGGATCTTTGACGCGGTGAGGACGAGAGAGTCGAAGACTTGAATGGGGAAGACTGAAGGGAATCTTGTCGGGGCCAAGTTTCGGGAAGACCAGTCCAGAGTGGACATCAGGTCGTGGATCCATTCCAGACTCAGCTTCCCGTCAGAAGGCCATGATACAGGGATGGGGATCTGCTCGCCATCGACTGATTCTTCTGTAGTTTGGGGATTTTCGGCGGTGGAATTTGGAAGAGCTGTCGTAGATTCTGACTCTGACATTGATTTGGGAGACTAGTCAGATGACACTCCGTCTCTCTTCCTCTCAGTTTTTACTTTACAAAAAATAATAAATAATAAATAAATTAAAAATAAATAAATTATACTATGCTTTCAAGAAGAACACTCGGAGCGAAATGGTGTCTATATACTACATATAATTCGAAAACCTAATTTCTTTCTATAAATTAACAGGCCCGCATGAATTATATGATTATTATATTAATTTTCATTTAAATACGAAATTGATAATTAAATAATAAGATATGTCGTAAATAACATACCATTTCACTAATTATAAAACATAACTCTATAATGATAATACACATCAATTATAAATTGAATATAATTTTTTTAAAAATAAAAATAAAAATTTTAATTTATCATAATTATATATAATAAAAAATATAATCGTGGTAAAATTCATAAATTATTAATCTTATTAAATATATTTAAAAAAATATGTTTTTATTAAAATTATAATTTATAATTTATAAATAAAATACAAATTAGTAGATAAAAACAACGTAGAATGAAAAATTAAAGTTAGAATTTAACGAAATCGTAATTTAAATTCATTATTCTACTTGTTTGGTTTGGTTCTATAAATCAATATCTCAAGTAGGAATACGTATGTGGCAAAGCTCGCCTATATATCTATCTATGACAAGTTGGTGTCCGACGAATGCTACGTTTGACTTTTATTTGTTTGTTAATTTTACTAATTTTTTTCGTCACCCTAAGAAAAAATAATCTCTGTCCCCACAATTGCAATTATTATCAAACCATGTTTAGTATTTAATTAACTCTAATTAATTCAATAATAATTTTTATATATTGTATGTTGTGTATGTACATATATATATATATATATAAAATATGGTGATGAAGCTAGGTAAGTAGGTGAAATAAAAAAAGCCACCGTTTTCCGAGTCTCTTCCACACCAACACCACCTTCCGTCAAAAAGCTATCTCCTCTCTCAAATTCCTATATATAGAAAGGAGCTAGGGCAAGCGACAAAGATTGCTTCAACTTTTTTGAAACTGGCTGAAGAGGAAGCTTAACTAGCAGGATCGTACTTACAGTTGCGATGAATAGAATACCGGGAGGTGTGCGGCTGAAGCCGGCGAGCAGGAGATTATCAGTTCACGGACTGCGGGAGAGGTTCGCGTACTTGTTCAGAAGAGTGTTAACAAGATGGAGATTTTCATATGGCCGAGCTTTACGATCTCTAAAGAAAGGCATCAAGAGAAATCAAAGACGTCGACACAGCAGCAGCAGCAGAAGAAGGTGTTTGATGGAGACATCGAGTGAGTCAGGTGATTGCAGGTGCGTGATTAGGCGCTCCAATTCTTTTTACTCGGAGGCTATTGCCGATTGCCTCGAGTTCATTAAGCGTTCGTCTCTTTCCGTCGATCAAAAATCGATTTCTCAACGATAACACCGTGTATATATCAATCATCTTGCTTTTTTTTGGTTAAATTTCAAAATTCTCGTGTCAGTTAAAGTGTTTTAGGATCATATTCAATTCAATTACTGATAGCCAGTGCGTTAATTCTCTTCTTTTACTTCCCTTCTTATATGCCAGTTTCTACATTGATTTCAATTACCTGTGAAAATGGAAGAGAGTTTTTGTACATGAAAAAGGAAAAGCAAAACGACAACGTATTTGATAGAATATTTGCGAGATTTTCCCTCCGGATCGTTGAAATTTGCAAAAGTGGTGGTGGTGGAGGGGAAGGTTCGTAGTAGGTATTAATTTGAAGAAAATTACTCATATAATTATCACCTAACACGGACACTAATTGCCCTGTGTTTGACTAATAGAGACATAAAAGGCAACGTTTTCTTTTATAATTACATATTAACAAAGTTAAATCCAAGGAAAAAATATCCAGCATTATCCATTTCCCATCACGAATGTGCAGTAAACATGGAGATCGTGGGCCTTAATTTGGGTCGGGTCTCTTTTTCCTTACCCATTAACTATAATTGGGCCGTGCCCATAATTTGATACGGAGGGTAGATGAGACGCATACTCCCGCGAACTTCTACCCCGGAATTTATACCAAGGGTGGATCCTTACACACAGAATAACTTCTCACCTCGACAAAATGTATTTAACTCTCCACGTGGAAATTAGCTATTTTCTTTTTCTTTTTTTTTATTAATTATTTCATTTTAATGGTCCAAATAATAATAATAATATTCTATTACCACGTTTGAAGCTTCCCGCTCTAATACGAGCATAAAAATGTGTGTGTGAAAAATAAAAACTAAAGACCACCTGCGCGGCAGAGAATTCGGCGCCTACAACGCACGCGCCAAATTCAAAGTCAAAAAAAGACGATCTCCAAGCCATTGTTATTATTAAGCCCATGAGCTTCCGAAGAGGATCCAGCAAGCTCAGAAGCCTGCTAACTAGAGCGCGCAGCATAGTAGGGTTGGCCACAACATCAGCCGCCGCAGCCACCGCCGCTTCCCTTTCCACATCCACTGCTCCCAAAGTCTCTTCCGCCATGGATGATCTCAAAACCCTTAAAACCAAGGTTTGCATCATCGGCAGCGGCCCTGCCGCTCACACTGCCGCCATCTACGCTGCGAGGGCTGAGCTTAAGCCCATCCTTTTCGAAGGTTGGATGGCCAACGACATCGCTCCCGGCGGTCAGCTCACCACGACTTCGGACGTTGAGAATTTCCCTGGTTTCCCCGATGGCATCCTCGGCATCGACCTAATGGACCGGTTCCGTAATCAGTCCCTCCGCTTTGGCACCACTATCTACACTGAGACCGTCAGCAAGGTTGATTTCTCCTCATCACCCTTCAAGGTCTTCACTGACTCCAACGCCGTCCTCGCGGACTCCGTCATCGTCGCCACTGGTGCCGTCGCTAAGAGGCTTAACTTCCCGGGTTCTCAGGATGGCCCCGGTGGCTTCTGGAACCGCGGGATATCAGCCTGCGCGGTCTGCGATGGAGCCGCTCCTATCTTCAGGAACAAACCTCTTGCTGTAATCGGAGGTGGGGATTCTGCCATGGAGGAAGCTACTTTCCTTACCAAATACGGCTCAAAGGTGTACATCATCCACCGAAGAGAGACATTTAGGGCCTCGAAAATCATGCAGCAGAGGGCCCTCACAAACCCTAAGATCGATGTCATCTGGAATTCGGCGGTGGAGGAGGCCTACGGGGATGGGGAAAAAGGGATTCTAGGAGGCCTCAAGGTGAAGAATGTGGTGACCGGAGAAGTTTCCGACTTGAAGGTCTCCGGATTATTTTTTGCCATCGGTCATGAGCCTGCCACCAAATTCTTGAATGGGCAGCTCGAACTCGATTCAGATGGCTACGTTGTCACCAAGCCAGGTACCACGAAGACCAGCGTCCGTGGTGTATTTGCTGCCGGAGATGTCCAGGACAAGAAGTACAGGCAGGCCATCACTGCTGCTGGCACCGGTTTGTGGTTTTTTCCCTTCCTCCTCTCAGTAACATTTCCATTTCACTGTTTCATATTCCGTTTTGCTGTTGGCTGTCTTTGTTATTGTATGCTGCATTACCGGTAAACAAAACAAGATCTTTGAGCTTATCTTTCACAAAAGTGTATTTTAGTACGCCTACTTCAATTTTAGAAAAGCATGAAATACCTTGCACGTTCGTTTAGTCTGATTAGGGAATCATGGAAAGTTTCTTTTATGAATCTTATTGACTTGGGCTACGTTTGGAACAAATCCTAACTTTTGTAGAAGTCATCTGATAAAACTTGGGCACATATGAAATTCTAGTTGTAATTGAAATGCTGAATTTTGAATTCAATATGATTTGGAACAATGAACTCAAAATCTTATCAAAATTGATTAATTCATTTTTCTAATTTTATGTTCACTATTTAGATTTTATCATTTTAAGGTTCTAGTTATCTTAGAATTTCTTCCATAAAATTTTTGAGTTTGTTTCCAGCACTACCTTAGAGAAATAGGAGCTTGGTCATTGTAATCGTGAGGACCTTGAGCCTCGGCCATCCAACTAAACTGGGTGAATTGAACTTGGTGAATAATGTAGGCAATGAATATTTATAGCCAACTTTAAGCCAGGGCTCCCATCAAGATTGAACCTTGGAGTAAAGTATTAGTACCTGTGAGAAAACACTACCCCATAAATTACAATTAAGTGGTGCATTTCTGCCTTTGCTTGGATATTTTGGCAGATCATTCTCCAGTTCTTGTCTAGTTTATTTTGAATCTAGCAATATTGTTCTGCCTTGTCAGAACAGATGGGAATCCAACCATGTATAGAAGGTAGATAACTGCAGCAAATTATGCAGTAGTTAAAACAATCAGAGATCATTTCCCTGTAATGTTCTATCTCTTATTCTGACCAACATTCTTAGGATTATATTTTTGATTGCCTTGGTTCTTTGCTTGCATCATTATGTCATTGCATTTTGATTTTATTATATTGCATGACTTTACTCAGGACCATGCTATAGTCCCTATATGAGTCATGATTGCCCCGCCCCCTTTTTTATGATATGTGCTTTAGTCAACTGCTGCCTGGAGTGGGGGTTTACATGGGTTTTAGTTTTCTTTCCAAGTAAATTAAATTCTTCAACTGTGTATTGCTGCAGGTTGCATGGCAGCCCTGGATGCTGAACATTACTTGCAAGAAATTGGGTCACAGGTTGGTAAGAGTGATTGATCAGAGTATATTCCTCAGACATGTGAGAGCTTTTCAATTTGAAGTAATTTTATTCTACACAGGATGTAGGAAGTTCTTGATGGACCATTGTTCTATGTCAAATTGATATTGTTAAATGAAATCAGATAAGCAATATATTTATTACCTATTGCTTAGCATTGTAAGTCTGCTTATTCTTGATTGAGCAACAAATTGGTTTCAGCCTTTTAATTGCAAGTGAAATCACCTAGCTCTATGTCATATTGCAACCTTTATTGCTGAATAAGTATATGCATTTGCTTTCTTGATGGATGACCTGAGAAATAATAGATACACTAAACTTCATGCATTTTGGATGTGTCGCTTGGTTGGGCAGTTTGCTTTCCAGGCGTATCCCATGGCTTTTAGTCATTTCAGCATTGACTGCAGACACATCCTTTTTTCTTTAAGTAGAGCATCATGCCTGTTAAGGTTTGTACACACTTACTTAGCTACGTCCTGTGGAAAATGCTCCTTGCTGTGAAGTTATAGCTAGTACACCAGATTTTCATCATTAACAGAAAACCTTGTAAACTTGTAGTGACAAAGAATGTTCATAGGTCTCAAAGATATTATATTGTTGGTCCGTTCTGTTATGGCTTTTGTTGGTGCTTGCTGATATCAATTGCTGTTTTCTGCGACCCACTTTGGAAAAACTGGAAGTTTTGCCATTTAATCCTTTTCTAATGCTTCGTGACTGCCGATGTCTATATTTTAGATTACAACTTAGGAGGGGTAATGGCATTAAGTTGCATATAATTTATATATACATATATATGACAGACTAAAAGAAGACATACATACAAGCAAATGAAATAGAAGACTAAAAGTGTACAAGATTTAGTTCACTTGTTGTGCGCAATTACGAAATATGCCACGTTGGGGAGCCACCTGGCGGCAAGAAGTGGCAGTGTGAGACACAACAGGAAAAACAACCTTGTATGGATGGCCATGGCAGACCAGCTACTCTTCCCCATATCTTCTCTTATGTTTTTTTTCTTTCTTTTCCTAATATATATATATATATATATATATATATACACACATCTTGGAAAGTGACCCATCTCACGTGGTCCAGATTCTAGATTGCACACAGCTGAACGTTTAATTTACTCTGGGCATTTCTTTCCCGCTTGGCCCCGAGATCCCTCACATGGTTTTCTCTGTTCGATTCTCCTCTCTGACACTACACAAGTCCCTAGTCATCATCATTTAAATAGTTTGCTTAAGTTTTCTTCCCATTCTTTTTTGTACTTCCATTTTCTCGAATGTCAAGGTTGCCCATTGATTCCACTTATCGGTTGGGAGGCAACTCCAGATGCATCCTTGCTAGGTCTGTTGTATTTCATGTGGCTTTCCACAAGTTGCCCAGCTGCAATGGCAGACATGAGAGAAAGCTCACCTGCTAGAACAGAACCGGCTACAATTGTAGCCAAGAGTCTTGCATTCGACCCAGGTGTATCTGTGCTGGCACCCTTAACACCAAGTAGATTCAAACAAGCTGACTGAGAAGCGAGCTGAGTGCCACCTCCTACTGTACCAACCTGAATCATGCAAAAATGAAATTTTGATTATTAATGCTTCTTGATTGAAGTTGAGAGGAAATTGAGGCCAGATTATGGCATAATGTGATGTACTATTTAATGAAATAGATTAAATTTACCAGTAAAAAACAAGCCATCGTTCTCTAAACGGTAATGGTTATACCAATTCTATCAAAAGAAATACAAGAAAAGCAATGGAAGAAAGAAGAAAGTCCTGGGTAGGAAATTGTACTTCAATGGAAGGCATAGTGACAGAGACATGGAGATCATTGCCATGGTTAACTGGCTCCATCATGGTGATGCATTGAGAACTCTCCACATTCTTGGCAGGATCCTGACCAGTGGCTATAAAGATGGCAGACACAATATTACTGGCATGAGCATTGAATCCTCCAAGAGTCCCAGCTACGGCAGAGCCAGCAAGGTTCTTGAGCATGTTGAGCTCCACCAGCGCGGCCACATTGGTCTTCAACACATGCCTCACCAGTTCCCCCTTTATGACTGCCTCGCACACAACGCACTTACCACGCCCTTCTATCCAGTTAACCGCCGCAGGTTTCTCGTCGCCACAGAAGTTTCCTGTACAGTGAGTGGAACTCATTAGCTAATATCTAAAAGAGAGCTGGTGGAGGCCGAAATTATTGGTCAATACCAGAAATGCTGATGATGTCCATATCAGGGAAGTGGTCGTGGATGAACTGAAGGACATTTTGGACACCTTTGGAGACAATACTCATGCCCACTGCATCGCCAGTGCTGCAACTTAACCTTAGATACACAGTTTTCCCTGCTATTGCGCAGTTTATCCTCTGCAACATTGCGTATCTGCTCGATCTGCATTCACCCACCTGCTTTTGTTAATAAATTTTTCGTGCATAAAACTATCCATCAACATTAATTATTTGCATGACAAAGCACAATTTCTACTGACAGTAGTTTGATAATGATGAGAAGCTTTAGAAAATTGAATCAATCAATTATGGTTGGCCAGGATATGTAAAAATTAAAAACTAACTACATCCCAAAAACAGAAAGTACATCCAAAGAAAAATCTTTTAACCTTATAGTGGGAACAAATCAAGAATCATTTAACATTCTTTATTAAGATCTACCTAGAAAATTTCATTTTATTGAACACAAATATGTATTTCAAGCTCCGGCAAAGTTGTTCTAATTTGATATAATTTTCTACAGAATCGTAATTTTCATAGGGCAGTGTTTATAACGTATTTTGTTGAAAATTTTTGTAGTTGTTGAAAACAAAATTCTAAAACTCCGTACAGATCCATTTATTTGAGCAAAGTTTAGTTTTAATATTGTTTACGAACCACCCCCTGTTGTTGACTGGAAGTGTTCTGTGTTGAATACTTCATACATATTTAGGAATGGGGGAATGGGAAGGAAAAGGTGCAAAATGCCAACTCTGTCCCTGAAATTAAAATTTGAAGTTGTGTACTTCGTAGAATTAACTAGTAACTAAATAGATTTCTTCAGGGCAAAGCGAAAAAACCAGAAGAGACAAACAAACCTGTTGAAGACAACAGCAAGAGTATCGAAATTGAGAGGATCTTCCAGGAAGTCCTTAAGATCAGCAGCTCTCTTGACAGTGTGGAACCTGACAACCGGAGCTGTGGTCATCTCATCCCTCAACAACGAGGAGGTGGCCCCGCCCGAGGCGTAAATGGCCTTACAGCCCCTGTTGGTGCTTGCCACGAGGCAACCCTCAGTGGTGGCCATAGCCACGCTGTACTCTTTGCCGTCCAGCAAGAGCGGGCCGGCGATTCCCACGGGAATCTGCACATATCCAATCGCCATCTCGCAACACTTTCCGAAAATGGAGTCGTAATCGAATCCATGAAGAGGGAGACCCTGAAGGTGCTTCCCGGTCATCCTCTGTAAAGCTTCACGTCTGATGGAAACAACCTTTAGAGTCTCTCCGAGCTTTGACTCTAGAGCGTAAGACGTGGAACCGGATACCACTGATTGGATGATGTCATAGTCGTCTTCTTCTTCCTCTAACAACTTGTTTAATGGTCGATGATCAAGAGGAGTATAAGTTCCTTCTTCGGCGAGGAAGCCGCGGGGGGAGTAGCGGTTGATGAAGGCATGGAGGAAGTCAATGCCAAAGAAACCGAGACGACAGATGAGGGAAACAAGCATGGAAAGAAGCGCGGCGATCACGGAGAGGGAAAGGATATGAAGAGGAGTGGAGCTGAGGATCTTGTGGCGCAATCGGTGGAAGAGGAAGTAAGCGAGAGAAAAGAAAAGAGCGAAGAAGACGGCGTTGGCTAGGTGCAGGGGATCGGAGAATAATCGGCGGCGGAAGATCCTCCGGCGTTTGTCCATCGGAACTCCAGCAAAGTCAGTTACCGTTATTGTTAATTCAGTTTTGGTTGCTGCTGAACTTTAGGGAGTAGAGTTTAATTTACACAGCGAAGGAGGAGGTGGGGGGGCCCTTGGCGCGCAGGATTATTGCCCACATGGATCGCATGATGTGGTTACGTGGCTTTTTTTTTTGGTTCTCATTAATTAATTAATTAATTTCTGAAAATAATTATTTTTTAAATAAATACAGTAATTATTTCTTTTAAAAAATAACTCAGCAATTAAATTAAAAATTACTTATTTACAATAATGTAAATATCTGTCAAAAATAACTGGCAAGAAGTGAATTGCACGTAAATTCAAGCAAAATAAAAAAGTGGATTGCACGGAAAGAACGAAAAACCAGATATTAAATCAGAGAAAAGTCATCATATTAAGTTATTTCTTGTACTTTTTACTTATTAATTTTTTAATTCCATTTTTTTATTATTATTTGTTTTTAAATTAATTTTCTCTTTACATTCTTTACTATTTTAAATTATCTATTTTTATTTTAGAAGCTTTATATTTACCCTTTTTGACTATTTAGATTTTTTTAAAAAAAAAAAGAATATACAGTCAAAAAAACTTTACATGCGGAGCAAGAAAGGAGTAACTTTAAGAAGGGTACAAGCAAAACGCCAAACAGTAATTACTGCTACCTAATTCTAACTCAATATACCGTACGTCTTAACTTTAATCAATCCACTTATTGTAATACTCAAATTAATTTAATTATAATTTAAATTAATTTATAAATATAATATTTAAATTTTTTTTAAAAAAATTAAATTTAATATAAAAATTAAAAAAAAAAAAGATGATAATGAAATTGAAAATAATTTAAAAAAAAATAGGTGAAAATTTGAGTTATAGAAGTATTTTCGAAAGAAGAGCGAAAACTGTAGGTCAAAATACAATTTAGAAAAGTTGTGTCACGTAGGATGCCTAGTCAGCAGTCCCGACGAACTAGAACGCGCCGCGTGGCAACGGACGCTGATGTGGTGCTACGCGGGAGGCCACGCGGGCGATAAGCGTACCCAAGATTGGACATCCCAGATTCACTCTCGTGCGCACGGATGACAATGATGCATTCCCTCCCCAAACACAATCAACGGTCATATTTAAATGCGATCTACAGTCCAAATTCACTCCCTATTTAATCGCGATCAGACAGTCCAGATTAAACCCAATGGACGGTCCAAATTAAAAGAGGACGGATATAAATAACTCTATTCATACCAAACCCTAACCCTAGCCGTCAGACACCCTCGCCAGAGAAGAAAACCCAGTCGCCGGGAAAGAGAACCATCATTGCTCGCCACCGCGCTAGAATTTCAGAATTGGCCAAAAAGAAGTTCTGATACCGATTTTGAATTTTTTGAGAAATTTGTAGGTACTTATAGCGCGTTTTAATTTCTAAAGAAAAATTCAGGGAATTCGGAGACCACCAGTAAGTGCAGTCAACAAGTTTAGCTTTTCGGACATCAATTTGAGTAAGAATCTTTCATCCTATTATCTGTTATAGAACTGAAGTCAAATTAACAATAATACGATAATTTGTGCAATTTAGAAAATATTCATAATTAATTACGAGTTACTAATGGAGTCAGAACTAGAAATTATTCATTATTGATTCTGTTGATTGATTTTATAGTTTAAATGCATGATAGTATTTGATTAATCAATTTTATAGTTTTGAATGCATATATTGTTTGTTTTATATGATTACGGTTGAATTGAAAAACTGAAGATAAAAGGTAAACGGGAAACTTTGTGATTAAGTGAATGGATGAAACGGTAGGCTTACTAGATATCTTGGGAGATGGTGGACGGACCAGCTGTATAGAAAACCCTATCGTGATCGTTGTCTCATACCGGACGGGGTATCAAGGCTTATAAATTTGGCGCTCATACCAGACGGGGCATGGGGACGACCCGTTTCGCCCTCATAGCGGACAAGGTATTGAGGTTTTCTAATTTGGCGCTCATACTGGATAGGGTATGAGGACGGCTTGTTAATTGAAAATATTAAAGGAAATGATTCACGCGTTGTGGAGACATTCCTATAAACTCCTATGGATACTAGTAGACTAACAAAAGGAAAAATTGTTGTTCCAACCGATTGCATATGAAATCATGATACATGTTATGTTATTGACTCAACAGGTTGTTTTATAAATATTGCTACGGTAAGTATATGGTAAACGATTTTGTTATGATAAATGAATTTACTTAATTAAGAACTGCATTAGTTGTTTTGATTTTTCTACAAATCTTTATTTATGTATCGGTGAGTAGCGTGATATTGTTACTGGGCTAGTGTAACTCATTCCTTTATTAATCATTTCAGAATAAAAGGATCGGGATTTAGAGCCTGATCCACAAAAGGAAAAAATTGTTGTTCCAACCGATTGCATATGAAATCATGATACATGTTATGTTATTGACTCTACAAGTTGTTTTATAAATATTGCTACGGTAAGTAGATGGTAAACGATTTTGTTATGATAAATGAATTTGCTTAATTAAGAACTGCATTAGTTGTTTTGATTTTTCTACAAATCTTCATTTATGTATCGGTGAGTAGCGTGATATTGTTACTGGGCTAGTGTAGCTCATTCCTTTACTAATCATTTCAGAATAAAAAGATCGGGATCTAAAGCCCGATCCACAAGAGGGTTGCGAGTAGGATACTAGTTTTTTTTATTTACTTTTCGTTTATTTCTTTTATTTTTATTTTTTGTATTTCATTCAAAGAATAATTCTCATATCACTATTTGGTACTTTAAGTTATTGTGTAAGAAATGTAAACCCTAACTAATTATTTCGCTTCTGCACTTAATTTATGATTTATTTCTTTGGAAATTTTCAGGGATGTTACAGTTGGTATTAGAACCGCGTTCCTCGGACCCATCCCTTACACAAAATCATTAAAAAATACCAAAAACAATAAATTATCATTCGACCGTTCCTTATGAAATGCATGTACAGATAGATGAGGAGAGGAAAGCCCCCACTAAACCGAGCAGTTCGTGAGGGTTCACTCCGAGAGGATGTTGACCGATTATTTGAGATGCTGGAGAGACTCATTGCTGCTCAGCAGGCTCAGGAGGAAAGGAAGGAGCTATCTAACCCTCCCTCGCTTCCACAGGTTGAGCCACCTCTACAACGAGAGGATCCCGAGCCACCCCGGTACAACCCTGCTCCTCCACAGTACTATTCGACACCACCACAGTATGATCTGGTGCCCCAGCCACAATACCACCCGAAACTACCATAGTATGGCTCGGTGCCCCCACCGTATCATCCAATACCACCGCAAGGCCATCTAGTACATCCTCAACACAGTTCAGTCCCTTTTCCACGAGACCAAACTCCTCCCATGATGGACCCAGACTACATCAAGAGGTATAAAAAATTAAAGCCATCTATTTTTGTAGGAGAATCATCTTTTGAAAAGACCGAGTACTAGTTAGCTGAGACAGAGAAGACCTTCACGATGCTTGGGTGATTCCCGAACAGAAAGTCAAGCAGGCCACCCTGCCCGTTCTAGTCACTTGGGAATAGTTGCTGACAGCCTTTTATACAGAGTACCTTCCAGAGCATCTCCGACATCTGAAGGAAATGGAGTTTGTACACTTAGTCTAGAGGAACATTACTATATTATAATATACTCGCAAGTTCCTAGAGTTGGGTCGATATTCCCCTGAGAGCATGACAGATGAAGGTAGGAAGGCTAGAAGGTTCGAGTGGAGTCTCCGTCCTAAGATCCTTAGCAATTGTATGTACTCGAGCTTAAAACTTATTCGACTGTTTTGGCCAATGCACAGTTAGTGGAGATGAACCTCCGCACCTTCCCTCTAGTAGTAGGAAACCTCAAGCCCTCGGCTCCACACCACAGACCAGTACCTACTGCACTTGTTCAATAGAACAAAAGACCCAGGTCGATAACTTAGGCTCCTTTTGAAGTTTCAGCAGCAGGGCACAGAAAGACCTGTCAGAATTGTGACAAAGATCATAGAGACCGACCCTGCTATCACCTCAACAACACCTGCCGCATATGTGGTAGCGTCCAACGTTATGTAAGGGAGTGCTCGAGGAACTAGAATCAGGCCAGACTTCCTATTTATGGTAGGGTTTACAACCTCACTCAGCAGGATACAAAAGCCGACCTGGACGTGGTACAGGGTACGTACACTATCTGTAACCATCCTGCTCATGTTTTAATTGATTATTGTGCATTGTATTCATTTATTTCACATGTTTTTGCATCAAAATTAAATGTATTATCTGAAAATTTTGATTATGTGTTGTTTGTGTCTACTCTTGGGAGTAGGACACTACTGAAAAAAGTTGTATACAGAGCCTGTATCATAGATATAGCATATAAGAAATTGAGTATGGACCTAATAGATATTGACACGGGGGACCTTAATGTAATTTTAAAAATAAACTGGCTAGCGGTGTATCACGCTATCATAGTTTATTTTCACAAGAAGGTTGTATTCAACTTTCCTAATGAGGAGTTATTTATAAATTAATAAAATTCTTTAACATTTATTTCCTTCATAAAAAATTCTCTTATTATCATGTACTTTAACTCGACTATTTTCTCTAATTATACAAACCCAAGAGAGAAATTTGTATTCAAGAGATTCTGATAGTCCGAGACTTTTCATATGTATTTACAGATGAACTACTTAGACTGCCAGTAGACAGAAAAGTCGAATTCACTATAGACCTTCAACCAGACACCCAGCCTATTTTGGTTGCTCATTATCGCATGAGTCGTGTTGATGTGGAGTAACTGATGAAACAGATCACTGAACTGCAGGATAGTGGATTCATCCAATATAGTGTGTCCCCTTGGGGTGTTGGAGTCATATTTGTAAGAAAGGAAGATGAGACATTGAGGTTATATATTGACTACAGAAGCCTGAACATGGTCGCGATCAAGAACAAATACCCCCTCCCCAAGATCGATGATCTTTTTGATTAGTTGTAGGGTGCCCAA